CATTAGTCCAAACACCACTTAAACACCGACCTCAACCCACACACATTAGTCCAAACACCCAAACACTGACCTCAATCTACACACACTAGTCCAAACACTGACCCCAACCCTCATACACTAGTCCAAACACCAACCCCAACCCCCACACACTAGTCCAAACATCCACACACTGACCTCAACCCACATTCACTAATCCAAACACCCAAACACTGACCCCAACCCACATACACTGAACCCAATCCTCATACACTAGGCCAAACACCCAAACACTACTCCACACACTAGTACAAACACTGACCCCATTGATCCCAACTCCCATATACTAGTCCAAACACCAATCGAAACATAAAAACCCCAAACATAATAAAAAAAACCCAAACACTAATGTAAACAATTATAAACCAAACATTGATTCACATATCCTAACATCAAACTGAACACTGATCCAAACACCTAAAACACTTTACCACTGTTTTAAACTCTGATCCAAACAGCAAATAAATAAATTAAAAACACCAAATACATTAATCAAATCATAAGACCACTGATCCAAAGTAACAAACTCTGAGATGTGTTAGTCATGTAACATACAAGTGATATTGACAACACTAATTAACACTTGTATATTTAATAGTGTCCACTAGTGTATTAGTGTATCTTTATACTGTAGTGGAATTTAATAAACACGCTCATAACGAGCTCAAATGCAACTCTTAATGTTCATTTTAATAAGATCTTTCATGTCTAACAGATGCAGTTACACATTTTGTTGATTCACTGAACAGGTCTTGAAGTATTTTGGGATGAAAGAGGAAAAATTTGTACTGGAGTGATTTAGATCAAAAACTTTTGCAAGTGTTTATGTTTATTAGATAAACACTCAGCAAGTGTTTAAAAGAACAGAATGATAACCCCAGCATGTGTTTAACTCCAAATCAGCTCCAGCGTGGGATGATTCTAATAGAAGGTGACTCATGTTGCGGTGTTTGTAGTGTTTAACACAACACAGCCGAAAAATTCCACATTCCTGAGGAAGTCTGAGAGCCAATTCCGAGGACTTATCCTCCTCGCTTCCACAAATACGACCCGAATCAGAGTAATTAAATCCGTTCGCTTCTGTAAGTTTTCCTCCCTGAAATCTGGGCCGAGGTCCAGCTGATCTTTTGCACATTATCGTCGGTCAGGTTTCGGATTTAGAGAGCTGGAGGAATGCTTTTATATATTAATTAGAAGAAGGAGAAGGAGGAAAATGGAAAGAAGGAAAAAAAAAGAAAAAAAAAAGGAAAAATGCAAATCCTGTTGCAAGACAGTCTGAGATTTACAGCCTTGGACCACGAGACGAGCTCAGCGTGCATGAGCACTACAATCAGAGCAGAAGATTGCTGATAAATGGGCTTGCAACAGACGCGCACACACACACACACACACACACACACAGAGCCAAGACACACACACACACACACACACACACACACAGAGCCAAGACACACACACACACACACATTAAACCACTTACAGTCTGTTCCAGTCTAAACGACCCATGTAACATGGATTTATGTAGACAAATATTCTAGCGACATTTACGTTATCTATAAATTCTGAGATTGTTATTATTTATGTACAGATAATTTGCGACTTTTTGTGTAT